AGCAGGCAATGTATATTTATTACTATTTATAACACATTTAGTTGAATGTTTAATTTTACGTTAAAGCTTGGCATGGCAGCTGACTAATAAGAATTTTTTTTTTTTCCATATGTAGGCTCCTTTATGTTGTTAGGTATTTATTTGTCAAACAATCATAATCTTCATCTTTATTTGAAATTTTGTACATCGAAAATACAGAGGATGTTCAGGAATGTTCTTGCTAAATGATGTGATGCTAGATTTAAAATTTGTTGGCGAGCTCCTATTGCATGCTCTATAGGTGTGGTCATTTGTGCTCTTTTCGTAGTCCAGTCTCAAGGTGCAAAAATTTGCTGTAATTAACAATCACAAAAATCAAATAAACATGTTTTACTTTTATTTACTCGTGTGCTTGTCTTTTTTTTTATATTGTTCCATCAAACTAGATATTCAGAGGAAAAAAATTAAAGGTGATGTCAGGGTAAAGGCTAATATGTCGCATAAGGATTTGAAGACCTAGGTCTAAGATGTAAGGACCATCTTAGTACTTATAATCTAAATATGTTCATATTATGTAAAGAAAGCAAAGAATGCAAATGTGCATTTTATTTTAAAATATGGTGTCCAACTTACTATGACACATCTTTATTATAATTACTTCGTACCTAACGTTTGTTTGTTTTTAACTTTTTGTGAAGAAGATAAGGTAAAGAAGGCCCAAACCTTTGAGAAAATTTTGCAGTAGCCTTACATGGTGATTTTTGATTGTGAGAGAGTCTGAAAATTATAAATCCAAACCGCTAATCGACTACATTTGCGCGCTTAATACTAGTTACAGCTCAAACTTCTCATTAATTTGAAGTAAATGAAAGAGGGCCTGCACGGAGAAGGTTTCCACTCGTACAGCCTTTATTCCTTTATTATGCACAACCTTATAATAACGTTTTCTTATCATTTATTTGGCGACAGGTGCAGCTGTGGGGGCAGTCGTCTGAACCTTGATGGATGTAGGGGCCTGCTTGTCATCTGGGGTGTCCTCGTCCACTGAGCGGGAGCGCTGCTGGCCTAGAAGATGAGAAGAAACGGTACATGAAACCACATCAGTTGTTGTTGGGTGTTCTCCACATGAGCTTCAAAAAAACGGGCCGAAGAAAGCAGCTGAAGCGACACGGTTTTGTGGCAGCGGCCTGGCCCCGGGGCCCTTACCGGGATGGTGCGAGTTGTGCCCGTCGTGCTCGTGGTTGGCCTCTACCGAGTCCTCCCTCATGAGGGGCAGCTCTGGCCTCGCCAACTCTGGCCGATCCTCGGCAAGCACGCCCTGCACCGTGCCGTGCACCGTGCCTTGCACCAGGTCGATCCTGGAGTCCAGGGAGAACTGCCGGCCTGACAGCAACATGCCGCGGATACGGCGGCGCATGGCTGCGTGGGGCGCGAACAAGCGAAGCAAAGAGTCAAACAGACGGGGTAT